GGGAGGCGCGAGGGGGCGGCCGCCATGTCCCGCTCTGCCCTGCCCTCACAGCGCCCAAGCGGCGACCGGGCACCGAAGCTGCCTGTAAGAATTAGTACGCGACCACCACGCGTCCTTGAGGGTTGGTTTCGTAAACCCAAAGCTCTTCCTTCCCTAGGGGTCGAAACCAGGCCGGTTTCGGTCCCCGGCGTTGCCGACAGCCCTAGGGAAGAAATGCGATAACGTCACTCCCAGGACAAAAGGTGCCTCTTGGAGCCGTGTACCCCGAAGCCCTTTTTGTTTTTTTTTTCTTTTTGGCACAGTTGTTACAAACTAAACAGATGATTTTTTTCCTGTGCTTTTCAGCAAGGGTGTTTTTTTTTTTTTTCTTAAATTCTTTAACCACGTAGCGCTTGGGACGCCCTTCCACCTCTTACAGAGCGCAACTTCCCCCTCCTCTCTTTTGCCAGAAGATTTCCTTTCTGGGTACCTGAAACAAGTCCTCACCGGACCAGCAACAGCAAAAAGCCTCATGACAAACCCAGTCCTCGCCCGTTAAGTGTACTTGGAAGTTGTCTTTGCATTTTAAATACTTCCTGAAAGGATATCCATAGCAATAAGTTATGTATATTAAACAAAGCAGAATCATCTACAAACTAATACTAGTATTTATGCACTGAAACTGTAAGAACTGTAGATTGTCAGGACAGAGGGTGGTGGTGACACAGTGCTGGAACATGCAGCTTGTTTTTCAGCACCCTTTGAAAATACAGCTACAGCCTGTCCGGGTGATCTGTATTTTTATCATTTTTCTTATTTGCCATTCCCATCTAGGGGAAAAAGCTCAGCCATTAGCCCCGGGAATTACGGAGGGCTGCACTTTATTTGTGGGTATTTCTTTCTGTACATAAATAGTTGTGCTCAAGCTAGTATTTGAGATCCCCAAGATGGAAAACTGCATGAAAAGTAATATGAACTCTCCTCAAAGTATATTGCCAGCTAACAGAATCACTGCTTTAGGTAAATTAACTCCGGATTCCTTGAAAATTCCAGGATATCTGGGAATCCAGTTACATAACACCATCTGCAAAAGCGGAGACTTCAGTTTGTTACTGTGACCAATTATGCTGCTGATAATATATTATCTTCCAAACTCAGCTATAAAACCTAATCTGAGATAACTGGTAACTTACTAGCCAAGCAGGCAAATCAGCTGTAATGAAAAAATGCATTAGAGTACATTGCTATGGCAAAACTGACTCCACCGCCTGAATATACATTGAATTATCTTGATGTCACTTGCTGAAACTGCAAATAAAGTTGCTAGGAATTCCCAAGTATTGCTGACTGAGAGGCAGGCTGATTTTAATTTAAATACCCATTATTTTAGGACCATACCATCTAGGACAGAGAGACCCTGCTACTAGAAACAGAAGGAATAAGGCAAGGCAAGGCGAGATTCAGATTCATGCCTGCTTATTTAATCACGAACACAAATCACAAAAGGGTGGTATTTGGATACTGACTTTCAGAGGAGCAGGGACTGTGCTTGCTCCCAGTAGTCTATCATGAAATAAATGACCAAACTCGGAATATCCAAGTTCCCAGAAGAAAAAAAATCAAAATTTGTTACATTTATCAGAAAAAAAGGCCCACTCATTTCTCTTGGAAATTTTCAGACACCGGTGTATTCACAATGCAGATCAACTTCCTAATCATCTGCATAAAAAGGATGCTTAGTTCCTAGCAAAGATGCATGTCACAGAGAGTATTCTCCTTGCCATTGCTAAGTATAAAACACCTAGCATCTTCGTACTACACAGTGTTCTGGAGAATAAATTACCTGCTATCTAGGGCATGTCCAATTCAACTTTCCGCCCATCTTCAAGTTTTTCCTCAAACTTCCTTCCGCTCCATCACTCCAAAGCTCCCTTGTCACCACCCCATTGCTCTCACCTTCCTTTGTTGCTTCAACAGCACAAACGTTTTTGCTCACCTACTTCATACCCAGCCTCTTACTACTCTTCATGTAATTACACTCTGCTCCTTCCTCACAATTTACTACTCAGATATAGTCCAAGTGTATGCACACGGATGTGTGATAACTATTCTTCCTACTTTTTCTCTTCTCAAATTCTTTCCTAGTGGTTTGTCTTTCAGTACTTTAAATTCAGCCACCTTGTCCTCACTTTAAAGCTCTACAATAATCAAGTCAAACAGGAACAAGTTGCTGTCTCTCTTTTCCTAGACTCTCACTTCTCCTGAGATTTCATCCTTTTTGCCTTCTCTTCTATATTCTTTTATTTTTCTCTTACTACTTTAGCTTTGAACATTCCTTCACTTTTTGGCAGTATTTGTTCTACTTTTTCATCACAAGCTTCCATCTGGAATTTTTAGTCTTCACATCAGTAGTCCTCAAGCCCTTCATTTTGTACATTTTTCATCAGACTATAATCTCTGCTGAGCACTGTCTCTGAAATACATTTAAAATTCACATATCTGTCTACAAGATTAATAAGGAGTTATTCTCCGCAGTAGCACAAAAACTGCAGTATATAATTTTCAGATAAAAAACCCTTGGACTCCACTGCTAATATCACATTTCACCTCTTAATTTAGCATCTTTTTCTAGTGCTCAATGCAGAAATGTACACATTCTCACCTATAGTAAAGCAGAACTGTAGTTACAATCTAAAAATGCAAAATACAAAGATGAACATTATCTGGCATCAAAATTCTGTAAAAGTAGCGTAACAAAACCATGCGTACAGCAGCAAAAAAAATTGCAAAAAAAACCCTTTAAATTACTAAAGCACATCTTTATTTTGCAATTAAACAAGTAAGATCCACAAGTAAACTATATATATATTTTCAAGTCTGTACCTAGACAACTATTTGTCAACTGAAATTAAATATATCCACAAAATATGCGTAACAGCATTTTTTCACATAATAGAATGAAATTTTACTTAAGACTAAAACAAGACTTGTTAAATTTTAATTAGCATATTAATTCTGGGAACTGCTGGTTTTCTGTAGAATGTTAGTGTATCATTTTAATGGCAAGAAATTTCATTTTATCAAAATGAGGACAAATACATAAGGCCCTTTTTAAAGCATACAGTAGCTGCAGTGACAAAAGCTGAATTTGTTTTCACATTGTCCAGTGTTGACCAATTTCAAGTTTCCATCATTTTCAGACAACTCCCTTGGCTGCTTAGCCAAGATGTCGCATTTTGTAATTTTTGCTCATGTGCTTTTTAACAAATTTATAGGCAAAAGTCTACTTATGGGAAGGAACTTCCCCATTCTCCCAACACTATTATAGATACACAAGAGTTAGTCTAAAGAACAGAAGAGCTATTCAACTCTGAGATGATTTACTTCACACTTGCAATCATTGAGCAGAATGAAACGGAGATGAAATTTGACAACTGAAAGCCACAGCTGGAAATGCAAATTAATTACCAGAAGTAACTGGCAAAAAAATATTGCCACCATCCGATTGCTAACAATGATCTAGATAATCTTCCCTTTGTATTTACACATAATATAGCACCTGTTACAGGGAAAACAAAACAAAACAACAAAAAAACCCCAAACCTTATACGAACAGCCCTGCCAAATTGACTGGTTAAAATGAGATCACTGGTAAGTGAAGCAAACTTAAATCAAACTAAAAACAATGCTATGCTGACAAAATAAAATCTTAAGTTTTCTTACCTTAATTTTCCTGTAAGATTATTATGGGATGTTACTCTGGTGCCCCCAGGTACTGAGATAATTGCACTGGATAATTTATAGTCTGTTCTTTGTGGATATATTCTAGTTAAACAACAACTTAACGTAAACTGTTTAACCCCTTCACTCATGTCTTAGGCCCCGGCCTAGGAGTAGAAGAACGACAGCTTCTTTAAACTTTGTTGTGCATTATCATCTTTAGTTATCAAAATTCAAATAAGTTAAAAAAAAAAAAAAAAGAAAAAAGAACTTATCTCCAGGTATTTTGACCAAATGTCAAAATAATGCTAACCAGAAACATTTACAGCAAACATGGCTAATATGCAGTTGCTAAGAGAGATCACAGAGATAAATTTATGAGTACCCTGTAGTTTCTATTTGCACCTTTTTTTTTAAAATACAGGTTTTGTATTATTTTTAAGACAGGAAAACTGAGATGATAGAACTACTAATATCTATTATCTGAAGGTCTGTCAGAAACATATGAAAAAACAAACCAGAAACGGTTGGAACACTGAAAGCATTCGTACCAGGGTGTAAACCAAAGTACCTCTGTACAGAAATCCATTAAGCATCTCTCTCTAAACCTAATTTATTTTGTCCAATAGTTCAGTCAGTAGTAAGCATGAGATAAAGTGCTACTATTCAAACACCAAAACACTTTGGAAAAAAAAAAAAATCACCCTTTAAAAAATGTGTAAGCTTGCTAAATATGAAATAATGCAACCAAGAAAATATCAGCCAGTCTGTGAAACTAAAATTCATGCTATGGCACACTAGAATGATATTTTAGTGTTTTTTTTTTTTTAATTAGGCTAGCTGTTTCAAAGAAAATAAACAGTACATACAGATTTTCGTGAAAATTTCAACTTTTAAAAAAAGTGATTTACTTTTCTCAAATTTTTATCAGCTGAGCTCTCAATGAATGAAACTTGCCACAGTCAGTACCAACAGCAGCTTACAGCTTACACATCAGTTAAAATGGTAGCTGGAGCAGTCCCATGAATTGAAAAGGTGCATGCTCATGGTAGCAACTAGCACAGAGGTAAAATCCATCAATGATGACAATTTTTGCAGATTACTAAACAAAAAAAAAAGCTTTGGTTTGTAAATGCTGTAGAACAATAGAGATTGGACAAAACAGTTGCATTAATACAAACAAACCATTTTCCCCTCCTAACAGCTTTCCAAACACCACTAAATATTATCTCTGCAATTTCATGCAAGATCCACTTTTAACCAATGCATACGTTTTCATTGGATTTTGATCTTTCATCCCAGTACTAAATTAGTAATGGAAAAGAGCTTTTCCAGTCTCAAGATAAAAGGTGGGTATTTAGATTAGCAAATATACATAGCCAACCTGGAACTGCAGATAACCTGAGCTACAGAGAGGCTACAAGTGATATTTAGGGGGCACTGTTCCTGCAGTTTTAAGTCTGAATACGCAAAATTTGGATGTGGACCATAATCCGTCCCTCCCTTTATCCCTCAGGACTGAAGGCCTTTAATTAACCTTGCCTGCAGAGCGGGTCTACAGGCACAGCTACAGCGTACAGACTGGACAACCCGCTTTTGCTTAGGAGATTTGTGGACAGTGGATCTGTGGTCCTTCATGGTCATGCTAATTCCCTGAGCCCTCAAACATCACCCACACACCTGCACACACACTGTAGAAGCATAAAGTACCATGTAATCCGGCTCCACAGCACACCTGGAGCACCAGCATCTCTGTGCAAGACCTTCGCTACTTCCCATCTCCCTGTGCAGTGCAGCTGCAGCAGCTCAGCTGCCTTTTGGCCCTTTCATGGGTACTGTGATGCTTTTTGGATGCTCTCCAACGGGAAGGTGCCAGTTAAACACGTTCCATGGCAAACCGCTCATGTTCCTTAACCTCCTGACTGCTTTCTCTCCCGTTCTCTAATAAAAGTTGTGCGATACTAAAATCGGCTATTCTAAAAGAAATGCTGCTGCTGTTTCTGGCAGACAAGCTAAATTCACTGCAAGGTTTAATATACTTAGAAAAACGTGGAAGAAACTTCAGTTAGCATTAAGTGTAATGGGAAAAATAAGCTTTCTCTTTTGCACTACTGAGAGAGCATATATAATAATAAAATGCATAAAAGCAGTGAGTTTTATTGCTTAAGGCTTATGCAGTATTTAAAATACCAAATACTTCCAAATTCAGTATAACTGAGTGTTGAAGAACTCATTTATCTGCTTTAGGTAAAGCAGTATTTCTCCAAATTGACTGGCGGACAATCTACAAATGATTTATACAACAGTACCTGCATCTTATTTCATATTTAGCAAAAATAAAAAATGCCCCCCAAACAGTCAACCCCCCCCCCAATGTTTTCCTTTAAAAAAAAAAAACCTTCAAATTCACTT